GTTTGCTTAGACGATTTCCAGGACACGGCTCCACCTCCAATGGTAAATACATAACCACTCGTGGATTTTGAATCCTTAGTGTCAGATATCCAATTTGCATCAGTATATCCTTCTAATACCGCAGGATATTTTGAGTAGTGTAATCCATATTCAACCGTGTGTCTTAAATATCTAAGAACTCGGTTTAATGCCTTCCAATGTACAACACTTGGATTACTAGTGAATCTACTCAACTTGTTGACTATGTATGCTATATCCGGTCTTGTGCAGTTGGTAATGTACATTAAACTACCAATGACACGCGAATATTCCAATTGTGATACGGGCTCACCAGTATTTTTGGCTAAGTGGATACCTAAGTCAACTGGTGACTTAACCGGTTTATCGTCATACGCCTTAAATTTCTTAAGTATAGTCTCAACATAATGTGATTGAGACAATGACAAACCATCGGATGTCTTAGAGATTTTAATCCCTAATATTACATCCGCCACTCCCATATCCTTCATGTCAAAATGTTTTGTTAACATTTTCTTAGTCGAGGAAATGACTTTGGAGTTATTTCCCATAATTAGCATATCGTCAACATATAGGCATATGATTACATATTCATTAGGTGCGTTTTTAATGTAGACACATTTGTCACATTCATTGATTTTGAAGCCATTTGACAATATAGTTTTATCAAACTTTTCATGCCATTGCTTCGGTGCTTGTTTCAATCCATACAATGATTTTACAAGTCTACACACCTTCTTTTCATTTCCTGGTGCAACAAACCCTTCAGGTTGTTTCATGTAGATTTCTTCTTCTAATTCACCATTTAGAAACGCGGTTTTGACATCCATTTGATGTATTTCAAGATTATGCAATGCTGCGATTGCAATCAAGACACGTATAGACGTAATTCTTGTAACGGGTGAATAGGTATCAAAGAAATCTAGTCCTTCTTTTTGTCTATACCCTTTGGCTACTAATCTAGCCTTGTATTTATCAATTGATCCATCCGACTTCAATTTCTTTTTGAAGATCCATTTACAGCCTAAAGCTTTGTTTCCCGGAGGGAGTTCAACCAATTCCCAAGTACGGTTACTCATGATGGATTCAGTTTCATTGTGTACAGCTTCTTTCCAAAAAGGAGCTTCGGGAGAGGACATTGCTTCATCAAATGTCCTAGGATCATTTTCAAGTAAATTGGTTACGAATTCTGGACCGAATGTCTTTGGAATTCGTTGCCTTTTACTACGTCTCGATTCTTCATTTACTTGAAGATCATCATTCTTTCCATGTATGTTATCATAAGTTCGTTTATTTGAACTTACTTCCTTTTCTTTACACGGAAAACTGTCTTCAAAGAAGACCGCATTTCTTGATTCAATAATTGTACCTACGTGTACATCAAGTACTTCGGATTTGTGAACCAAGAATCGATATGCACTACTGTTGATAGCATATCCAATAAAGACACAATCAATTGTCTTTGGTCCAATCCTAACTTATTTAGGTTTGGGTATTTGTACTTTCGCTAAGCACCCCCACACTTTGAGATATTTGTAGGAAGGTTTCCGACATTTCCATAATTCGTAAGGTGATTCAACCTTATCTTTGTGTGGTATTTTATTAAGGATATGATTTGCAGAAAGTATGGCTTCCCCCCCACAAGTTTTGAGGTAAGCCCAAACTAATTAACATTGCATTCATCATTTCCTTTAACGTTTGATTTTTGCGTTCAGCAATTCCATTAGATTGTGGTGAATATGGTGCCGTTGTTTGATGAATTATTCCAGATTCTGCACAAAATTTTTCAAATGGTGCAACATATTCTCCACCTCTATCACTACGAATCATTTTGATTCGTTTTCCAAATTGATTTTCAACTTCATTTTTGTAGTGTTTAAACACTTCCAAAACTTCATCTTTGTTTTTCAACAAGTACACATAACAGTACCTTGTACAATCATCTATGAATGTGATGAAGTACTTTTTACCACCCCTTGTTTGTACGAACTTCAAATCACACACATCCGTGTGAATTAGTTCTAATGGTGTGGTGTTTCGTTCAACCGAATGAAATGGTGTTTTGGCCGCTTTTGCCTCTACACATGTTTCGCATTTTCCATTATTAAAATGCATATTCGGAAGTAAACTTAAATTCATTAACTTTCGTATTGAATTAAAGTTTGCATGTCCTAATCTATGATGCCATAGATTACATGACTCAAGAATATAAACTGAAGATGACGTTTTATTGATTGTAGCATTTGACACAACAGTTAGGACATTCATTTTGAATAGTCCATCTTTTACATAGCCTTTGCCTACATACATATCATTTTTGGTAAGTACAAACTTATCCGATACAAAGACTAGTTTAAAGCCATTCTTGCTTAACAAAGAACCCGACACAAGGTTCTTGCGAATATCCGGTACGTGAAGGACATTATTGAGGCTAAGTTCTTTTCCCGACGTCATCTTCAAGACCACTTTGCCTTGTCCTTCCACTTTGGATGTTGAAGAGTTCCCCATAAACAAATTTTCTCCCTCAGTTGGAGTGTATGATGTGAACATTCCTCTATCGGCACAAATGTGACGGGTTGCACCCGTATCAACCCACCATTCCATGGGATTTCCAACAAGGTTGCATTCAGAAGCAACTGCCGATAAATTCATATCGGACATGCCATTTGATATGGCATCATATTCGACAATGTTGGTTTGGGATTGCTTCTTAGGTTTGCGACAATCAACCGAACGATGTCCAGCCTTTCCACAATTGTAGTAATTGCCCTTGAACTTCTTTGCATTCTTCTTTGTAGATTCAACGGAATGCTTTCTCTTCTTTCCTTTGTTGTTGCTAGATTCTACCACATTTGCCTTTGCTTGTGTATGTTATTCCCAACTCGTTTTTCCGAACTTCGGTTGTCTTCTTCAATCCTCAATCGAACCACAAGTTCTTCAATGTTCATCTCCTTGCGCTTGTGCTTGAGATAGTTTTTGAAGTCCCTCCACATGGGTGGAAGTTTCTCGATAATTGCAGCGACTTGAAATGATTCGCTCACGGACATATTTTCCGCATGAATGTCATGGAGTATGACTTGCAATTCTTGCACTTAACTGATGACGGTCTTCGAATCTACCATTTTGTAGTCCAAGAATTTTCTCACAATGAACTTCTTGGTTCCCGCATCTTCGGTCTTGTACTTCTTTTCCAAGGACTCCCATAGTTCCTTTGCAGATTTCTTGTAGCAATATACACCGTATAAGGCGTTGTCCAAGCCATTAAGAATGTAATTCTTGCATAAGAAGTCCGAATGTTTCCATGCATCCAAAGCAATCAAAGATGCCCTATTGTTTTCCCCTTCTTGTATGGCGGGAGGATCTTCATTCAAGAATTTCGCCAAGTTGAGGGTTGTGAGATAAAACAATATTTTTTGTTGCCACCTTTTGAAATCAACCCCAAAAAATTTATCCGACTTTTCCCCATGTGAAACGGAGTTTGAATGTGCGATAGTAGGGGCACCCACAACCGGTGGAATCACATTAGTAGTAGTTGTATTCACAACGGGAGGAATCATACTGGTAGGAACACTTCCTTCAGAAGTTCCCATGTTCGAAGTTTCATTCGAAGTAGTATCGGTATTAAGAACCGTATTCATTTCTGTTTACGTAAAACAGAAGATCAACCAAAAATAGAAGTGAAGAAGAAGTTAAACTTAACAAGTTTAACCAAACAAGAATGTCACTTTTACAAAATATATATCAATTCGACTTAAGATTGTTGGATAAATTTTGTGAATAGTGACGCCAAAATAAGTATAATGATGGTTTGTAAATCCGTGCCGAAAATTGGACAGAGTAACGGCAAAGAAAACACAAACAAGAAGAAGAAGAAGAAGAAAGTAGGGACAAAGCCGAGGCAAGAGTTGGACTCTTTGTCCTTAAGTCGAATTTGCCCCGCAACGGTGCCTACGGATTTCGGCAATCGACTCCCAAAATACAACGGCTACACTTGTGTTTGTAGCACTCCAAAACACAAGTACAACGAACCAAATTTAGGCTTATGTACTCCAAGGATGAAATGAAGGAAAATCAAAATAAATGAAATGATTTTGATCTTAAATAGAAGAGAGGATGAGAGATGTTTTGCATATCAAAATTGTGAGGAATAGGACACCCAAAGGGTCCTATTTATAGACCATGAAAGGGTGTGGACGAAATAGTTGAGGTCAAACCATGCACGTTGAGGCCAAACCATGCACCCTTTCCAAACAATGCACCTTTATGAAAGGTGTTTATTCACTGATTTTCGTCCTTTTTCGTAATTTCTCATTCATCCGATATTGGTTTTCGAAATGCCAAATATACCCTTCAATACATGCAGGTCGATCCCCGTTTGTGCGCCCCGAAGCGGCGAAGTGGCAAACAATTTTGCCTAAACGGATTGAGTCGAGCTTTTGAGTATTTGCTCGAAGTCGATACGAAGTCACTTTAATCGTTTTTCAATTATCGATTTATTTAACAAATATCCAACAATAAAAAGAACATTGAGATATCATAGTTCGAATAGTTGTATCCCAATGATAACCAAGAACAGTTCAACATTTGGAGAGAACTTGACTCAAAGCATGTAGAGACATGTAGGAATATATTATGCGGACTACAATCAAAAATATTATACTCAATATGTACGGTTAAAATATAATATTTTTTAACTTCATCCAACGATTTCTAGTAAATTTCTTCGTGCATGAACTCCTCTAAGTCCTTTAGTTGCAGAACACGAAGAAGACCATGGATGAAATATTCCTACATTATATGAGATAAATTGGCAAAAAAATAGCAAATGTTATGTTAATGACCTACAATGGAATAGGATATGGATGGAATACAATGAAACAGAATCACTTCGAGGTTACGTATAAATTTTCCTCAACTTAAACTCGGGAGCCTCAATACTTCAACCTAAGGTTTTGATGTAAAAATCGTCATCTTTTGGCAGGTAGGTGTGCGCGTGCACCTCAAGTACTAGACTTGTAGCCGAAATAAACCAAACTCTTTAATCAAATTATACTTGTGATAACAAATAAAAAAGAAAAAGAAAGGAAAAAGAAAGAAAATGAATCGTCTTGTCCTGGCCCCCACCCAACCAATCACCTCGACACCATCCCACCTAATCATCCCGCAAATTGTCATTTTTCCTTAATCAAATAGTATTCAATAACTCGTTTTCGTGTCCAATGCAAATTAATCAAAACCATATAATAAAAAATACCCAATTTCTCAGAGCTGCTAGGTTATGTGGGACCGTCCTGTTTACAGCTAAATGAATTTTTGACTGTCATTCTCAATTTAGAATAACATTGTGAAGCCTTTTTACACTTTGCACGTATGGGAGAGAACAGTAACTTCAATTTGAATCAAAAAATTATTAATTATTTGGCCCAATTGCTCCCATTTTTTCAAATTAAAATGATTGGAATATTATTATTATTATTATTTTGAGAATGAGTTGTTGAAAAAGATTGAAAAAATAAAATTTAATTTAATGGATATATGCCACCGTTTGGCTCCATTTTCATTCTCTCTCCAACTCTTTCTCACTTATTTTCCACGACACAATTTTTCATAAAATAATATTACATGTAAATAAAAATAATTTCATTCTTTTCCAACTATACATTTTTCAAAAAATACTATTTCAACTATTAAAATTTAAAAAAAATGGGGCCACCAAAGGGGCCATAATTTATTACTGACCTGAGCTATGTCTCCCAGAGTAACAAGCACAGAGTCCACTTGGGGCGATACATGGATCCAACCCGAATCCGACAACAATGAATATTGTTGACACCTTATTTGATAATGCAACCCGATTACATATGGATATATCCGACTCGAATTGGGCCCATTAGATATCCACATTAGAGAACGGACCCGAGATGGATCGTCTCGGGCTGGATTTTCAAACCCGGCTGCAGAAGCTAATTCTTCCATTACTTTCAACCCCAGCTTCTCCATTTGGCTAGTTAACTCACGCAGAGAAGCCAAGTCCAAATTCGACTCGGTTGTTGACTCGTTCGAGCATGACAAGTCGAGGCAGAAAGACTCACTACCATTGGTAGTGGTGTCGTCATTGTCGTCGTCGTCGTCGTCGTCGGGTGAGTTGAAGCCGAGTGGCCAGTTATTGGGGAAGAGAAGGCGCTTTTGGTGGTGAGGGAGGTCGAAAAGAGAGATAGATGTTGTTTCCGCAATCGGAGGGAGGTGTGAGGGGATGAGGTGGTGGATGAGCTGAAAGAAGCCTTGTTCTTGGGAGGCAGAGAGGAGGGAAGGGTGGAGAGTCGGGGAGGGATCGGAGAGAGAGATAACTGGAGGAGTGATGACGGAGGTGGTGGTGGAGGAGAGTGGAGAGGAGCGGCCGCGGGTTGGCAGAGAGAGGGAAAGATTACAAGGAAGGCGGTGAAGCAGACGAGAGATGGCATCTTCGGTGGACTCTGAGGTGAGGTTGGATTGGGTCGACGGAGTCGGGGGTGGCGCCGTGGTGGCGCCATGGTGGACTGGTAGGTGGCCGTGGGGCTTTTGATCAGCAGAGGACGCCATGACGTGTACGTGAATTTTAGAGATGTACATGTGAAATAAACTCTTTTGCCAGAAAGAGTTTAAAATAATAACACTAGCAAACGTAACCATATAAAAGGTGTAGAATTTTTTTATTTAGAAATTTAATTTACATTTTCAGTAAAATCCACCCACCTGTCACACACTTATTAATAACAATTTAAAATGCTTATGGTTGTTAAATATTATTTAATTAAAGTTGATTGTTGATCAATTTCTTCATAACGTTTGATTTTTGTGGCTATACTTGTTATATGAAAGCATCACACATTTCTTACTCATGAAAAACGCACTAAAATTTTGATTCTGTAATTTGAAAATTGAATATAAATTTAGCGGATGTTACGTAAGTTAGATTAAAATAAGTGCTACTTGTTTGAATTTAATTTCTAATTATTTTTCCTTCATCATTTTAGTTTAAGATAAAAAGCATATGCAAGACTAATATTTAGTCCTTGTTTGGCATATAATAAGAATTTGGGGAAAATATATTTTAAATAGTAATTTTTCAAAGTATGTGTGGTTAAAAAATAAAGAAAATTTTTTGAAATTACGTATAATATTATTTTATTAAATAATGTGTGGTTGATAAGAAAATGAAGAAAAATAAATTATAATTTAAATGGGAGCCAAATAATAACTTAATTAATCCAACAAAAACAAAAAAAATCTTGTCTCGTCTAGAAATTGTTTTATTTAGCAATCATCCTACGTGAATATCAAATTCGATATAAAATTTGACATATTATCACATGACATTCTATCGTTGAATAAATTAAAATATTTTCTACTTTTTCATTAAATCATTTACTATCAAAATGTAATTATATCAAAATTTCTGTCAAATCCTTTGTTAAAGTAACTTTATAGTTGATTTAAACAATAATCTTTAAAAAGAAGCGTGACCGCACAAAAGTAAGCACTCTTAAATATCGAATTTCTTGGTTCAATATTTTAATTGGGGTAACAGCTTTTGCAGGTAAAATGGCAGGCATGCCGCTCCCATGGTATCCGGGAGTGAGTTTCTCTTGTAGTCGGGGCCTTGCTTTCATGTTTTTCTGCAATTTAGCCCAGCTTGTCCTCCATTATTTTATATTTTATTATGTTATTTTTTATATTACTTATTTTCAAGAATCATGATGTGTGTACCACTTGACATTCAACACGATTCAGAGCCCCTCACAGTGGGAGGCCGCAACAATGAAAAAAAGGCATGGGTCCCGCCATACGTGAGGGAATTGTAAAAGCCGTTGTACAAACAGCTCAACTCTATTTCCAATCACACATTTTTTATTTAAGTATTAAACACAAATTAAATTTTTTTCTTTTTTAACCACACATTCTCTATCAATCTACTATTTTATAATACATTTTTCAAAATTATAAATGGGCTAGTGGCAAGAGAGAACAGTAGTATTAATTGAATGATTGTGCTACCTGTATATTAAAAGTTATAGATTTGCTTACTAACAAATGATGTTATAAGATTTGAATGAATCAAAATCTCATCGACTAAATAAAAATAAAATTTCCCTTACTTATTTTTGCCATCCCATTAATTTGTAAAAGAATATGTAAATGGTAATATACAATAAGTATTTTTCATAACTAAATTATATGGTAAAATCAATATTTTCACAATTGGTTCAACCGTTGATTCCAACACAAAATAATTAGTCAAATTGGAGTCAATCCAAACTTTGTTTTCAGTTTGGACTGGTTTCCGAATTTGTTTTCAAGTTGAAACAATGGGTCGGATTCTATTTCTACAACATTCGATATAACCAATAAAATTCTAGTTCTTCTTTAAGTCTATAAATATCAAAAAAACATATTTAAATAAATATTTTTAATTCTTCCCTACCCATTTAAATGTTTAGACGAGTGGATTAACAAGATTTCCAAGTTAATAAGAAAAACTTGATTCAAATCTCATTGTCATTTATTTGTAATAATTATGCAAACGTCAGACATTTGATTATGAATGAATTGAGTTTTATGTGATGGAACATGTTAAATGCAAAATTTAAATGAATAAATATAATTTTACCGTTTCATTTGAAATGCTCAACAATAATTCTATGTACGTCAATAAATGGGCCCAAACGGAAACAGACCTAAGAATTGTGAAAATATAAATTCTAAATAGGGAAAATTTCATAAGTAAGAGTTTAAGTATCACACATTTCAAAATTAAGAAAACAAGTTTTAAACTTCAAAAATCAAACTTTTATTAAAATTTATTTATGATTTGATGAATTAATTAATTATTTTATTAATTAAATATATTTAAGTCACATATCTATACAATTTGGTTATAAATTAACAATTTAATTAGTCACTTATTATTTTTTGGTCACAAATTATTTTACGATCACAATTCAAAAAATTTGTTGGTCACATTTTTGTTTATTGGTCACAAATAAAAAAATTAATTAGTCACGGATTAATTTTTAGTCACAACTTATCAAATTATTGGTCACACCATATTTCTCGGATACAGATAAAAAAATTTATAAGTTACATATTATTTTTCGATCACGAATAATAAATTTTATAGGTCACAGATTATTCGTTGGTCACAGAATCAAAATTTTTATTGATCACAACTCATTTATTCATTGCAAATTATTAAATTAATTGGTCACGATTAATTTTTCGATCACAACTTAATCATTGTGAGTCGTAATTATAAGTTTTAGATTACATATTACAAATTAACTAATTATTAATCACAATTAACCAACTAATTGGTCACAAGCATCCAACCCCATCTCATCCACTCACAATCACTGACATGATCACCATTACCACCATTGACCTCGAAAAACCATAATCGCGGCTCAAACACCAACAAAACCATCACTGCCGTCGCCGCCACCACCTCACCAACATCATGGTTGGCACCACTGCCTATACAAAGAATCAAAACCACCATCTCCATCTCCACCACACTGCCACCAAGAAATCCCCAAACTCAACATCTTCGTTGCCACCGTCACACCACCACCAAAAAATCCCCAAACTCGGTGTTGTCGTCTCCTCCACCACCACTACATGTTTCAACAATCACCAACTTAAATCAACCATTTCCTTCGGCTCTACTAAAAAACAACAAGCACCGCCAACATCACCACCACCTCAGAGCACTGCAAAAACCATCACCACTACAGACACCACCACAATTGCACACTCCTTCACAGACCTATCAGTAACAAACGAAAACAGTCTCATCAACAAACCACAAGAAGTAACAAATTGCCATTTCCATCGCGACAAGCATTAACAATTCGGGCAGATCTCACAGATCTGTTTCGCAACGGCTTGTGCGATGCTCATGCGCAGTTGCTCGCCAAAATCATTGCTGTGTTTTTGCTTTAGGCAGCGGCAATCTGCATTTTTCGGAAGAGTAGATAATGAAGAGAGAATAGAGAAAGACAGATTGTCAGGGACAGGAAGAATAGAGAAATAAATTTTGGCTTCAGTTCGACGTCGGAGCTTTCAGGTTAAGAGTGGAGAGTGTTGTTGAGAGGTGAGGCGACGGAGATGGCTGTCTGAGGGAAGATCGTGAGAATATAGAGAGAGAAAGGTAGGCAGGAATAAATTAGGGTTTGAAATTAGATTAGATAGATTAATTAATAATAAATCTGATTTTTAAAATAGTAAAGTTGACCTCTGATTTTTGAAATGGGATTATTAAGCCCCTATTTGTTTCTCATTTTTTCTTCATTAAAATAAAAAATATGATCGTTATTCATCACATCAAGCCACCGAATTTGAATTTCTATCTTTTGTATGGGGCCCATAACGGCTATATTTTTCATTCTCATTTTTAAATTAATGTGTATGAAATGGGGCTTAAATATCTTAGATTCTATAATTTCCTCTTCTAAATATCTATCCAAATCCTTCCTACTGGTTGAACTATTGCGATATGGCCAATTCCTTTTTTATTAGCCAAAATTTGCCCGTTGGCAATGATATTTTTTGGAGCAGCCAAGATTTTACCCCTGGCAATGGATCAAAGCTGTCTATTTTTCTCCTTGGCAAATAAGGTTCCA